GGTTCTGTCTCACTTTAAATTCACTTTAATAATAAAAGACTTGAGTTTAAAAAGCACATTCAGGAAAGTATTTTCACAGTATTTTCCTTACTCATTGAAAACTTGAGTTCTAGAATCAATCTGTGGTTTCCATTTCAATTTCTCTTGTTGCCATCTGGAGAAAAAAATCATCTACTTCTGATATGCAATACCTAAATTCAGTAATTCTTTTGTTTGCATGTTTTTCCAAGCTGTGCTGTCACTTCAGCCTTGGCTTTTCATGAGTCATTGCTTGGTGTGGAGATAGCTTCTGCTAGACTATTCAGGCTTTAATGTGTCTATGAAAGAATGAAGAAGTAAAAAGGTCCATTTCAGGATTTCTTTACTGCATGGCAAGATTGCTTTTATTCCAAATCTGAAGAAATAATTGTTCAATAAAGCCTTCTGCCCCAGTTGATTATTCCTGTGTTATCAATAGTGTGACACTGGTACAGGCCTTTCAACTTGAGTATTCTGAACAGTATTTAGAATATGATGGAAGCCAAATTTCATTAAGATAACATTAAGATAAAAAGAGATTGGGTAGTACCTAAAGAAACTTACAACCTAAATCAAAGATGGTGTATAAGGATGAAAATGGACAGTACTATGAGCATATATTTTGATAAATACTGCATACAACTACTGATTTAAAGCAGTAGAGTTCTAGGGCTGGTATCTTGTTCTTGATAGTTTGACAAATAGGATGAAAAGTAACAGGGTCTATAGGTACAACAGAATAAAGGGCAAAGTATATTAACTGCCTTTAGTAGGTGTATTGCCAGATGCCTTGTGCTGCTATGCATCATAGGCTGTGCTAGTACTGTTCTGCACCATGAAGGGATGAAAAAGCTTTCCAGTACCTGAAGAAATCCAGAAAGAAGCTGGATTTAGATTAGATGTTAGGAAGAAATTCTTGACTGTGAGGGTGGTGAGGCACTGGAACAGATTTCCCAGAGCAGTTGTGGATTCCTCCTCCCTGGAAGTGTTCAAGGCCAGGCTGGGTGGGGGTTTGGGCAACCTGGTCTAGTAGAGGGTGTCCCTGCCCATGGCAAGGGGGTTGGAACTAGATGGTCTCTAAGGTCCCTTCCAACCCAAACCATTCTATGAAATACAACAGCACAAGGTACAAGGAAGATAGCTTTCTCATAAGGCTCCCTGACTGCTGTACTGCTGGGATGCGTACTAAAACATATGTTAGATCAGCTTGTCCAAGTCATGAACCATTTGCTATGATAGACTTTGAGAAGATGGAGATTTAAAGGACAGATTTTAAAAAAAAAAAAACAACTAAAAGAAGTGGCCATCTTACTGCCTCTTAGTTCTTGTTCAATATCTGCTTTACTTTCCTCCTTTCAGCAGCTCTCAAATCTCCATTGCAGTCAAGGAGAAAATAAGTTCTATGTTTTGGCCAGCCACACAGCATCCACATGGACCAGGCAAGCCTAGCCAATGTGTGTACTGTCAAGTAATGCAAGGCATTCACATGGACCAGGTTTTGTGGGAGCTAAAAACACTGTCAGTGAAGGATTCTGGAATGGAAGCAAGCTGTGGCTTTTGTGTTGGTCATCATGGGGAATAAAGCCTGAGGTGCTTAATGTGTGCCCCACGGCTGGGAGATGTAGGCCACAGAGGGTGAGCTCTTTCTCACTTGTACGCTGTTAAAAGCTGTGCAGAATAGTATGTTGCCATGTCATGTTACAGAATTGAAAAAAAAAATTTAAAGTGAACTTTGCAAGTGAAGCAAGAAGAAATGATAAAGTAAAATCTTGCTTATGGGAATGATTTAGAACAACTTGCACTGAGTAGCTTGTATGTTTTGTTAAAATTGCTGATTGGAATCCTTTTTTACCAGGCATGGCACATGAAATTGTGATGTTTCTCTTGCTTGCTGCTATTACTAGGCAAGCTGGTAACCACAGAAATAAGTTTTCTTAATTCTCAATTCTCTGCACATCTAACTGCATAGTGTTTAACTTTTTAAAGGAATGGGGATGCTTGATAGCATGTATATACTAAAAAACAAAGTGGGGAACTCCCTGATGAAGACATCTAGCTTCCAGTGCTAGATGATGGTTGATGTGTCTTGAATAACTGTGCTTAAGTGAGAAACAGTTCCTATTAAAACTAAATGTTTGAGCTTCAATGTTTATATTAATTTATTTCCTATTTCTGAGATCTGTTACTGTATTGACAAGATAATGGTTTTGCTGACAAAGTCTAATCCTGCTGACTCTGGCCTCAATATCCTTACTGTGGATGCTCTAACAGTTAACTAGATTCTGTTGATTTTTTTTAAAACATCCTGGTAGTCAAACACAGTCTGACAGTGTTATTTGTGAGAAGCAGAAATGGATTGTCATTTATAAACCTCAACCCATAATTAAGGGGGGTGTGTGGGGGAAGATTTCAACTATCATTGAAACTATAATTTTAGTAATCTGAAGGATAAAGTACTTACCTGGTTCTTGCTAAATACAATAAGCAGCAGGGGAGAACTTAGGGCTGTGTTTTTTAGAGAGCAAATCTGCTAAAAATTTGATGGAATGTTATCCAGTAATACAATGAAATTATTTTTAATGGTGACTTAATCTCTTGGAATGCACCAAACACACATGGGGGGGGGGGGGGGGGGGGGGCAGACTAACAAATGTTCTCTAGGTCTGTGAACATTTTGCATTTGATAGTAAGTATTTGATCTGTTCTACTACATTGAAATAGTTTTTCAGTCATGTTGAAGTAGGTTGGGTGAAGCAGAATAAAAGAAATAAACTGTTCTGAAATAGATAGTTTTTTCTCTAATGTCCTCCTCCCTTGTCTCCTATGCAGAACTTAGTTTCGTGTCCAAGTAGCACAGTTCTATGAAGGATGTACTCATGGGGTAGAAATCTCTGAGAACAGAAAATAAGAAGTATCTGAGCTGTGCCATAATACTAAGAAGAGTTTGAAATAATATTGGTAAAAGAATCTTGCTCTTGTGGAATATTAGATCAAACCTGTTTCTGAAGACTTTACTTTGGAGAAGAGAGGCTTCAAGTTCACTTACATTTCTCAGTGTCTTCTGTGTGAAACTGGTGCACTTGAACTCCTGTGAACATTCTCCTTTGTGCTACAATTTCTGTGCGTAAGCAGAAGCTGCTAGGTCCTATTTTGTGTTACCAGTCCCTTAGTGTTGATAAACTGAATCTATTCTGATATTTTAGCAATGTGATTGGCTTGAAGTGTTTCAGAAAAGTATGTAATTTTATCCTTCTTTAGTTGACATCTGAACATGAGTAAACAGAATTTGCAAATGCCTCTGAAGGAACTTTAACACTTGCATTATAATATTTAAAAATCAGGTGGAAAAAACCAACTTCTTTCTTTTCTCCTAGGAGGAAGAGTTGAGAAAAAGTGGAGAGGCAAAGTACTTCCACCTGAATGATGACCTGCATGTTTTAATTGAAGTATTTGCTCCACCGGCAGAAGCATATGCCAGAATGGGACATGCATTGGAAGAAATCAAGAAGTTCCTCATCCCTGTTAGTATTTTAATCTTTTTGTAAGAATTCTGGCAGTCTTGAGTAAGAAATTTTCACTAAAACTAAATGTATGATATTGATCAGGTGATGTTGCTTAATTTCCTTCAACTGTGAGAGAAGTGATGTTTACAAATTTTCATTCTGATACATTTCATTCTAACACTTAATGGGTGAATGTGTAACTGCCCACATACTCTTAGCTCATGATATGACCTTTAGTAAAAAGGTTGCTCTTGCTTAACTGGTCATGTGCAAAGTATTCAAGTTTACAAGTAACTGTAAAAAGCTGTAAGACATGGAAAGATAACTTTGCTTAAGTTAGGGCTTTTCTGTGTTCTTGGTACACCTGAAGCATCAGCATATGGTTCTTTCACTAAAAATAAATTTGAAGTTGTAGTATTGCTCCCACCCATAATCCTGGTTTAATGTTCAGTGCTACTGTACGCGTTTTTAGCAATTTTTAGTTTGTACTAAAGGTAGTCCAGATCCATGAAACCAAGTCCCCAAGTGATTGGAGTTCATTGAGTGCTCCTTGAGTGTTTCTTCTGGCTTGTTTTTGAGTGAAAGTTAAGGCATGCCCCAACACTACAACATGATATGAACCAAAGCATGCTAAGTAATGATCATCAGGAGGTTCATCTAGTAATACATCCTGATGTGTGTAACACTAGTGTAGATGCACCTCAAGACAGTTAACCCCCCCACAATGTCATGAGCACTATTATATTCTATAATAAAGAAGCAAGCAGCACATCATAACTGTCTGCGGGTTCCAAATGGCTTTTGTCTTAACTGATTAGGTAGGGGATACTCAGCAGAATATTTGTAGGAATGCTGAGCTGTCATAATGTTGAAGGTTACTGTATTTACATGATTCAGGATTTGATTGTGTGAAGAGATAAGGGAGAACTAAGTTCTTGGCTATTCAAGTGAGCAAACAGCTGTTTTCTTTTTATGAAAATATGAAAATTGAAAATATGCTCCATTTGATAAGTGCTTTTTGTGTGCACCAGAAGTAAGGTTATATCAAATTTCTGTCTCCATCAGATCTTATTTTTTCTTCGTTGAGTTTGATTCACCTAATGTCATATTAAATGAAGTAAGCTTATCAAAACCTTGTCATTACTCTATGGCTGTTAAGCCAGTAGAATTAGACTGATAATGAGCAATTCCACTTTTCCTTCTCAATTTTTGATCATTGCATCTTTATTGTACTGAGCTGAACTGATGCTACATAATCTCTTCTGAATTATGGGATCAAGCCAACACTGTCTTAATTTCCCTATGGCTTTTCAAATGTAATCTTATCAGAATGGTTCTAAATGCCTTAATCGCTTTTGCCCCCTGCCCCCCTTGCAGCAGCCACTCCAGGAAGCAATAAGGAGCAGCTTTGTCCTCTCCAAAACTACTGTTTGGCTAACTGCTGCCAAATGAAATGTGATTTTTTTCTCAATTGTGGCTTTCTTAGCAAATTATCAGTTTTATTTCAAGCAAGAAGTCCTGCTATCAGTATGATGATTATAACCTTAATTTGTGTTCTTAAAGTGTAAGATAACTATACATTCCAACAACTTTAGATACTGATTCTAATTTATGGGTATGGTCATTGTTCAGTTTTCAGATCAGCCTGAATATATGACCACAGTTGGTGCTAGAATGTAGGCTACAAAAGATCCTTGTAGCTGAGTATAGCAAAAATACCGTGGCCTCTTCTCACATCTTCAGATCCATGAACAAGCACCTTTGCATTGAAGTTCAGCCTCAAGCAGCTGCAGTGGTGTACCTTCCTTTAAACTGTTGGTGTAACTCAAACATAAAAGCTTATGACTTAAGGGGTTTTTTGACTGTGCTTATGTTGCCTTGACTCTCACCTGTCTTCTGCAATTAGAGTTGTGGCTTCTGACTTAAGTATATTAATTTGTCCTCCTTTAATTTAGCCTGTCTCTTTGTTCTGGCTGGACCCTCTGGTCAGCAGTCTGTTCTTCTGTCGGGACAAAAAGCCAGGTACTTCCACCCTCACCTCCGGGTCATGTATTACACCATGAGTACTGCAGTTTTGGCCAAAAGGAATTTTTTAGTCTATTTTGCTTAATTTTTTAGTAGTGGCAGTCATTCTTTTGACAGCTACAGTATTATGCTTTGCTGTTGGTTACCTGAATTGTTTTCCTTGTCTTTAAAGCAAAACATAGAAATATCTTGAGAGAACAATCTGTAGCAGTCAATTTACAAATGTGAACAGAATTTACAAGTTTTTCCTGTGGTCTGTATTGCCTCTTGCATATTCAGTTTGTAAGGTGTGGTGATGAAATACCATTTAATGGCATTTGGAGGAGCTGGTGGGTTTTAGAAACTCACCCACTTTTCTTCAAGCAAGCTGCCAAATAACTGTAAGGTGTGTGTGTGTATAAAGGTGGCTGGAAACCTGATAACTATCCTCACTGCCAGGATAAAGATGTGCTTGGGTGTTTTGCAGAACTGCTTAGCGTTTTGCAGGGATCTGTCCTAACATTAAATAAACTTTTTACTTATAGTTTGATAAATTGGATTAAGGCCTTAATTTACAGATGATCCCAAGGAGAGCTGCAGCTGGTGTGTTGATCAGGGCTGGGTGAAAATTGTAGATAACTAAGCAACATTCTTTTAAATGTTGGGTCATGTAAGTAATTCCATGTAGGGAGAAAATCTCTTGTATGTATCTTGATGCAGTCATTCGTATAGAAGAAAACATTCTCCATGTTGAGAGAAGACTGTAGTCAAAGTCAGGATGGGCAATATTCATACAATGAGATTAATTTCATAGAATGGTTTGGGTTGGAAAGGACCTCAAAGATCATCTAGTTCCAACCCCCCTGCTGCGGGCAGGGACACCCTCCACTAGACCAGGTTGCCCAACACGTTGCCCAAAGCCCCATCCCACTGGGCCTTGACCCCTACAGGGGAGGGGCCAGCCACAACCTCTCTGGGCAACCTGTTCCAGTGTTTCACCACCCACACAGTGAAGAATTTCTTCCTAATATCTAACCTAAATCTGCCCCCCTTTAGCTTAAACTCACTACCCCTTGTCCTATCAC